CGTCAGTCTTTGCGTGCCTGGCCACATTACAGCCAAGAGTGTTGCCCAGTGGTGGGGACAGCAGGCAGCAGGTCAGGGGGCGGACTCTGCAGGCTTGCTGCACTGCTACCTGGGATATTCTCTACTACTTATTTCTTTAGACATGGTCTCGCTATGTAGCCCTGGCCGGCCTGGAACTGGCCATGTAGACCAGGCCAGCCTGGGATTTACAGAGCTCCATCTGCCTCAGCCTCCTGTGTGCTGGGACTACAGACATGCCCCACCATGCCTGGCCCTGGGTTAAGTCTTGGCGAAGGGCAGGGCTCCCTGCACTCGTTTCTCTGAGCATTTCAGACTGTCTTAGCTGCCCTTGGAGGTCACTCTATTAGCTTTCAGAATGAGGTTTCCCAGTTCCTTTAAAGGTGCCGGCCTCCCCGGCTCCGACCCAGGGCTGCAGGAACCAAATGTGGGCAGGCCTGGAGCCCTGAGGGCTCTGCTCACGAGGGGCAGTGTGCAGCCCCACTGCAGTCACTGCTGCTGTGACGTCCTAGCTGGCCTCCCTGCCAGGCCACCCGACCCAGCTTACCTCTCCCACAGCACTGCCCACCATTGCCTCCATGTTCTAGACCAGCAAACTCACCGCCACCAAGCCTAGCCTAGCCAAAGTTGGTCCTTCAGTCAGGGATACCTCATCCTCAGGGGAGTCTCTCCTTTGGGAAGGATCCACTTCACCCCCGAGTCTTTCCTGCCCATACGGGGACTAAACCCAGGCCCCTGCACCCACTAGGCAAGCTCTGTGCCCGCCTGCTTTTCACTTTTTTTTTTTTTTTTTTTTTTGAGACAGGGTCTCACTGTGTAGCCCTTTCTGGCCTGAAACTATGCAGGCCAGTCTGGCTTGATTGAACTCAGAGATCTGCCTGTCCCTACCTCCCGAGTGCTGGGATTAAAGGCATGTGCCACTATACCTGGCTTAAATTTTTTATTTTTCACGCCTGTGTGTGCATGTGCACGCGCTTGCATGCCACAGTGAATGTGGAGAGGCTAGAGGACACCTTGTAGCGATTGGCTCTCTCCTTCCGTCATGTGGGGCCTGGGGATCAAACTCAGGTCATCAGGCTTGGTGGCATATGCTTTTACTGGCCAAGCCATCTCATCAGCCCTTTGCTGTATGTATGTGTGTAGTCTACATGTTCCTGGCTATATTCATGGAACTCGTATGTAACTAGCCTGGCTTCAAACTGGCAGGGATTCAGTGTTACGATTGAAGGCATGCACTGCCAGGCCCGGTTGGTTTTTATTTTTGAGACAAGGTTTCACTAAGTTGCCCAGGCAGGTCTTGAAGTCACTCTGCAGTCTGGGCTACCCTTAAACCTTCCAACATTCTGTTTTGGCTTCCTGGGTCTTGTTTCACTGCACCGACTGCTTGCCATGTTACTGCTCGTCTGCTGCATTATCACTGAGCTGAGTACAGTTCTGTGTAGCTGTCACAAATACCCGACAGGAACAACAGAGACGGGAATGGCAGCTCCTTCTCAGTTTCAGAGGCCTGTGCGTGTGCATAGCTGTTCAGGCCATGGTGGACAAGAAACAGAGCAAGTCCCCAAGGTGCCAGGGACAGGAGAGCCCCAAGAAACCGCCCCCAAGGGATCTACTTCCTCCGGCTAAGTTTCCAGGTTTCCAGATCCTCCCAAAGCACTGCCACTAGCTTGGGCCCTGGGCTTTTATCATGAATCTGTGGGGGATATTTCATAATCACACCGTAGTACCCCCCAGCTCTGGTGCCATACGTTTTGTTTATGAATACAGTAACAGGTTGGTAAATGGTCCAAAATCACAGAGGCCATCAACAGCAGGGCTGCACCCTGGTCTGACTCCTGAGCTCACAGCTCCGCCACACCAGCAGCCTGCCTTTCCCACACCCGCCCTCCTGTCCCGACTCCAATGGCTTGCTCTCTCCACATTGCCATCTGTCACCCTAACAGGTGCCTGCATGAGGACTGTGTGCCCCATGTTTCGCACACTGCTGGTATTCAGGACGCTGGACATGGGGGCTCGTGGCTGTAGCCTCAGATGCTGAGGTATTAGCTGGGTGTCATAAGACCATGACGAGAAAACAAATCCTTCACAAGCCAAACTGGCCTGAAACCAGAAAGGCCGTGGCTTCTAACAACAGGCTTTTCCAGGCACAATAATCAGATCTTTGGGGATGGAAACCAAACTTGGACATGTGTGAGCAGAGCTACCTACCACGCCGAATGTCAACAGATGGAGACATGAGGAGGGTTTTTATGAGCGAGAATTGTTGAGACCAAGGTTGGATAAAGCACAGGGACAAGTAGCCAAAGGAATGGAAACACATGAACAAATAGCTGAGGAGCCCCCAACTGGATCAGGCCCTCTGGATAAGTGAGACAGTTGATTAGCTTGATCTGTTTGGGAGGCATCCAGGCAGTGGGACCGGGTCCTGTACTCAGTGAACCTGGGGCTTATACAGGGACACTTGGTTCAGCCTGGGAGGAGGGGACTGGACCTGCCTTGACTGAATCTACCAGGTTGAACTCAATCCTCAGGGGAGTCTTTGCCCTGGAGGAGATGGGAATGGGGGGTGGGCTGGGGGGAAGGCGGGGCGGGGGGAGAACAAGGGAATCCGTGGCTGATATGTAAAATTAAATTAAATTATAAAATAAAATAAAATGAATACATGAATACAGAGCCTGCCCATGTCAGGAGCCATACTGCTTTGTCTTTGGGGTGACTTCCCTCCCATAACCCAGGCTTCTCTGTGAGCCTTTTAATGTTTCTCTCTTTTCTAGAGACAAATCCTGGAGATTGCTAGATCAATCTGCAGGAAGACAACCCTACAATTTGCATTTACGCTGAGAATGATCTCAGTGGCTGATGGGACAGGAGAGTCCTGGGCAGCCTGATGACTGGCCCATAGTGATCATTGTAATGTGGGTCAGAGGAAGTCTTTTTTTAAACCCCAAGTACAACCACAGGACAGCTGGCTCATCCCTCTAATGGGGGGAGAGGAACTAGGCCAGGGATTCAAAACTGTAATGCCAGCTAAGGAGGCTGAGGCAAGAGGATCACGAGTTCAAGGCCAGCCTGTGACACAAGATCCTGTCTCAAAAACAAAAACAGGTACTGGGAGATACGCTTGATCCCTGGTGCGCACATAAGAGTTGGGCACCGTGCTACATGCCTGTAATCTCAGTGCTGGGAAGGTGGAGACAGGAGGATCTCTAGGGCTTGCTGGCCACCCAGTCTAGTTGAATCAGCTCCAGGTTTAGCGAGGCTCAGTTAAAAAAAAAAAAAAACAAGGCAGAGCCGGGCGGTGGTGGCGCACGCCTTTAAATTCCAGCACTCGGGAGGCAGAGGCAGGTAGATTCCTGTGAGTTTGAGGCCAGCCTGGGCTACAAAGGGGTACCAGGACAGGCTCCAAAAGCTACACAGAGAAACCCTGTCATGAAAAATGGAAAAAAAAAAAAAAGGTGGTAATTTGAAAGGGAGCAAGGAAGGGCATTTGGAAGGATTTAGAGGGTAGAGAGAAATGATACAATTATAATCTCAAAAATAAAATGAAGGCTGGAGAGACGGCTTAGGAGTTAAGAGTATTGGCTGTTCTTCCAGAGGACCCGGGTTCAATTCCCAGCACCCACATGGCAGCTCACAACTGTCTGTAACCCCAGGATCCCTCACACAGACTTACACTTAGGCAAAAATCCAATACACACAAAATCAAGTTTAAAAAAATAAAATGAAAAAAAAAAAAGTGGAACGTGATGGAGGAAGGTCCAGCGCTGACCTCTGGCCTCTACACGTACAAAATGGAGGAGGAAGGGACAACGGAAGCATACAGATCTGAACTCAGGAGCAGGGTGACTGAGGATGCTACAGGCACCATCACTGTGAGGTTCATCATTACCTCTCAGAGACCGCCCTTCTGCCACGGACAGTGGGGATGCTGGCCACTCACCTGGGCATTCACATCAGCCTCTGCTCCAGGCTCTCCTGACTCCGTCCTGGAAGCCTCACTTCCACTGACCAGTCTTGGGGGGGGGGGGGCGCACGTTTATCTGACCATGGTGTGCTGTCCCATCTATTCATAGGCCTTCTCCCTAGTCCACATGGTGCAGCTTCCAGGCTCCTCTCCAGGCTCTCAGGACATTCTTCAGGGGCAGCTGCCACAGGATCCCCACTGGTTCAGGAATGCACCATGTGTATGAGGTCATTATTCTCCAGCCTGGTTTTATTTAGGGGTGTGTGTGTGTGTGTGTGTGTGTGTGTGTGTGTGTGTGTGTGTGTGGTTTTCTACAAACTGACCTCACTATACTGTTGCTCATTAGAATAAAACTGCTCTTCAAGCTCAGTATGGTGGTCTGACCTTTAAACCTGGAATTGGGAGGCCGAGGCAGGAGAATCTAACTGAGTTTGAGGTCAGCCTGGTCTACACAGCAAGACCCTCATCTCAAAAGGCAAACAATGAAGGCCCTTTTCCACGTTGGGGCCAGGAGGACATAGCCTGCTGAATGTCATTTCACCTCTGACACTGCCAACCTGTTTGGTTGCCTTCTGCCTTTAAATCCTGTCCTTCCTCTCAACTCCACCCCACCCAGCCACTCTGCCGTGCTCCCTGTCCTGGCCGGGTCGGGAGCACTGGAGTCCACTGCCTTCTGCAGACAGAAGGACCCCGACACAGACCCCAGCCGCTCTGGCTCCTCTTACCTTCTCCAATTCTCTGAATGGTCATTTCATGGCCACCTTTGACCTCTAGAACTATTTCCAAGATCCCTGTAAGGGGCGGGGGTGGGGTGGGGAGACACACCAGCACATGAAATCAAAGGATTAACACAGGACTGGTCAGGTGACTCGGTGTCACATGCGTGTGCATTCCCTTCCACCATAATAATAACAAAAACAATAACGTTTTTAAAAAGATGGCAAAAAGGACTCCAGGAAGCCCCGGGGAAAGAAGAGACCAGGCGCGAGAGACAGACAGACAGACAGACAGACAGACAGACGTGTCAAATACCGGCTTTATTGGTTGACACTAGCTTACAGTCTACAGTTCCAGTGTCCTTGCTGCATGGCTCGGGCAGCAGAGCGAGGGCGCCCTCACAGAAGTGGGCTGTGGAGGGGTGCCATGGGGATGGTAGGCAAGCGCCAAAGCGCTCTCTGGACCAGGGGAGGGGTCAGCATGAGACTCGCGCAGGGCTCCTTCCCGACTGCTGTGAAGAGGGTCCCTGTCTAGTGCCAACCTTTGCTCCTCTCCTCCACAGCCCAGGGAGAGGTATGAGAACTGGCGAACACTGCACCCAGAAATGCAGAGGAAAACTCAGCTTCCTGCTTTTTCAGGAGAGGATTCCATTTCTCACAGTGCCTGAGATCACTGCCAAGACCTCCTCAGCAGAGCTGTAAGGACACTGGACAGGGGCCAGGCTGGGTTGGTGGCAAGAGTAAGCAAGAAGAAACGCTGGACTTGCCATGGAGTGCCAGGCAAGGCTGTCGGGGAAAATGGAAACCACGATCATGCCCTGCAGGCTGTGGAGCTCCAGGCCCGAGCCCACTCAGCTCAGAGGAAGGGTGCCATCACCCACGTCCCCACTCTCATGACAAGTGCTAAGAGCTCCAGGTCTACACCAGCCTTCCTTCTCTCCTCCAGATCACTTGGCATCACCTTGGCATGTCGGTCATACCCTGCGTAACCTATGACGCCCTGGGTACCTGGCCTCACTCTGTCTCAGCTTTGGAGACGCGGCTAAACTTGACCATTCCACCTTAGCTAAAAGGTCTAACAGGACAAAAAGAGTCAAACTCAGCGTGTCTTGGCAACTTTGCCCCCCCTCTGGTGGGCCCCCTGGATGAGGAGAGCACGTGTGGACAGCACACACACCAGGAGACGCACACCAGGTCATCTTCTAAATGGAATGTCCTGGCCACCATAACCTCTGCTGCTGAGTGGAGCAGGGCTGTACCTGTGGTGGAGGCACATTCTGTAGCAGCGGTCACCACCCAGAACGAGGGCCTTGCTACCTCAGATCCATCCCCACGGAGTTCTGGACGGGAAGAAGGCAAGATCCCTGAGCCAGGCAGAGCCAGAAAGGCAGACACAAGATGCTCCTGCTTGGCCTCAACGAGGCAGATAGGGCAGCACTTGGCTTTCATTTCACAGGGGCTTCTGACACCTTCAAGCGCTCCGACTTCTTTAAGCAGTCACCCAACTGGGAGCCATCTGTGCTAACTAAAATGTTACTTCGAACCACCACCCTTTTCTTTGATTATTACCAGCTGCAAGTGTTCAGACCCTAAGAACAGGGGAACACAGCCAACACACACAGAACCATTCCACAGGCTGTTCTTTTACAACAGACCGGCCCAGTGAGCTCTCTCACTGGGAGAACCACATTCTGCTCTTCTACAGAGCACACCACGTCTGTTTGCTGAGGCCCAAGAGCCTAAGCTATGCAGGTTTTTGCTTTTCAGGACTGGGGACAGAACCCAGGGCCTCATGCATGCTGGGCAAGCATTCAACCAAGAGAGCCACCTCCTCAGCCCTCTGTTACAGTTCTTAGAAGCCCCTTGAGAAGTTCTGAGACCAAGGCTCCCAGCCACAGGTACAGACGGTCTGTGGGCTGCAGTCTGGAAGGCTACCCTCCCTCTCTCAGGAGGACATGGCCTCTGGCTCCCTGGAACGGCTTCCTCACCAGTGTTCTCTCAAGCCTCACCCCAGACCTGCTCCTGGGTGGTCCTGTCCTGTTCCTGGCTTTCCCATGGGAAAGTCAGGTCTCTTAAACTATAGGCAAAGAATAACCGACACTACTGTCTTCTCATAAATGGTGCGTCTCTCCATCCCAAAGGGACGGATAACCAAGGCTCAGTTATCCCTCAAGAGCTTCTCACTGTACAGAGGAGGCTATTGATCCATTACTAGCTTAGGAGATTGCTTAACTCAGGGCCAAAGAGCCAGGATCACAGCTCAAATGAAGAAATGGCCAGCAGGAGTTTGCAGGCAAAAAGATTTCCTATGAGCAACCACTTCATAGGATCCCGAAGGCCCAACAGCCAGACTGAGGCCCCTCATCCTTTTCCCTACTCGGTTAGAAAGACTGCTCTGAACAGGAACAGCGATGCTTGTCCTTAATCCCAGCACTCAGGAGGCATAGGCAGGCCTCTGTGAGTTTAAGGACAGCCTTGTCTACAAAGAGAGTTCCAGGACAGCCAGAACTACACAGAGAAACCCTGTCTGGAAAAAACAAAATAAATAAAACATGGGGCCTTTTCCAGTGTTGTCTAATAAGTCAGATAAGTGTTAGGGCTCAAAACTGGTTCTTCGTTAAGTGAGGAAAAACCTGGGTTGACAGCTGACCACAAGGGAAGAAGCAGTGACTTCACCTTGTAGAGGGCCCCTCACCACGACTTCCTCCTTCCCAGCAGAGGCCCTCTGGCTTGTGAAAGAGCAGTCTTCCTACTATGCTCCCCGAGTCATCACGGCATGGGGACAGGAGCAACTCTAACAAAGCTTCATGTCACAGACAGCCAAACTGCTGGACTCAACTCAAGGAGTGTACCCAAATATCACAAGTGAGAAGGAAGGGGTCAGGACAAGCTGGTTGACACAGGAAGGCGAGGCATCACTCTCGGGCCCTTGATCAAGCTTCTTAGATCCTTCCAGCACTCGGCTAAGAAGTCTCTGGGCTAGCGAAATACCCCGGTCACAGCACAAAGCTGCGGAGATTGGGTAAGGGGATCTGGGGGCCCAGAGTAAGGAGCATCCTCAGACGGCAGTCAACCTGTCTCAGTGTTATACTGTGATGGGGAAACAGAGCTCCCTGGACACTGGACTCCGCTTCTGCACACTCCAATGACAGGTGGGTCACTGCTGGGCCATCACTGCACAGAGAGACAGGCTCCACACAGGTGGAGGAGAGAGCACACCCCGCTCTCGGCAGCAGGCAGAAGTACCTTTCCAAAGAGCCAAATGGCTTCCCTGCACCCCCACGCTGTCTGGCTGCCCCATCCTGTCCCCACCCCGCTTTGTCAAGAAGAGGACTGTTTTCTGAAACGCAGTCGGAAGCACTGTCAGTTATAGCCATTTCTCCTTTTTCTTGAAAAAAAATTCTTCAGGTATTTCCCCTTTAATTCTAAATCTTATCTCAACTAGGACACACTGAGAGTACACTTCAAAAATAGCAAAATCAGCCCACTGCAACACAAACCACATTGCTTAGCTGGGAGTGATGGCACACGCCTTTAGTCTCAGCACTCGGGAGGCAGAGGCAGCCTGGTCTACAGAGTGAGTTCCAGGACAGCGAAGGCTACACAGAGAAACCCTGTGTGTGTGTGGGGGGGGGGGGTGGGGGGGGAATCACAGTGCTCCTTCAGGCCTTTCTGTGACCCGGGAGGGGCATGTGGTTCAGGCTGAGCTATTTTTAAGATGAAGATGGGACTCTAGGCGTGTGCCAGCATGGGACAGAAATGAGAAATGAATGAAGGACAGCATGCCAAACACACAACAGGGTGACCGCAGGCCCCGCCCAGCTGAGCTGCAGAACCAGCCTCCAGCGAGAATGGAGGGACGAGAAAGGGCAGGACAGAGGGGCAGCTGCAAGCTTTCCTGAGAGCTGGCCTTTCCTCCTCAGCAAGCCCAGAGGCTCGTAGGGCAGCTCCTAATGCACACACAGTATTTCTTTTCCACTAAGGAACCTGGCTATGTAACAGCTGTACACCACCACTCTGACCCACTCCTGGGTGCAGTAACCCACCATGGTCCCTGGGGCTGCAGGAAGCAAGACCTCTAGTGGCCTCCCTGTTCTCAGGACTGTGCAGCACAAGGCAGAGGACAGAAGTCCTCTGTACCCGGATTCTAGGCTTTCAGCAGCCTTCTGGACGGGGACGGAGCTTTCTCCACACAGCACTGACAGGGCCGGAGCACCCCTGTGGAAACTGTCAGGACTCTTATTAGACTGGCTGCAGAGTCTGGAACACTACAGAAAATATAACATGGCTGATTCATTTCTCTCCCCACTCCTCAGAAAAAGACTATGGAGCCCAGGCTAGCCTTAACCTGCTTTAGCCTCCCAAATGTTGAGATTATAAGCATTACTCTGGATTAAACTGTGCCTGGCTTCTGGTCTCTGGCCTGTTCTATCACGTATGCACAGAGTTAATTCCTGGCTTAAAAAGAGCACATGACCTCACTGGTGTTTCTCCAATGTCTAAAATAATAAACAGACAAAGCAGTTTTTTGTTTTTTTTTTTTTTTAATTTAAAAACACTCGGGGGGACTGGAGAAATGGCTCAGAGGTTAAGAGCAACAGCAGCTCTTCCAGAGGTCCTGAGTTCAATTCCCAGCACCCACATGATGGCTCACAGCCATCTATGATGAGATCTGGTTCCTTCTTCTGGGGTGTAGGAATATATGCAGACAGAACATTGTAAACATAATAAATAAATCTTTAAAAAGAAATGTAAAAACCACTCTATGCTATCTTTTTCTACCCCAGTATGGGGGACTCTAATGGGGATTTCAGCAGCAACAGAATCTAGGACATGCAAATTTACTGTGAGTCAGAGACTGAGCACAGGAATCTGTTCGATGATGGGCTGGATTTCTTTTTACTTTCTTCTCTCGACCTTCTTCACCAAGTTAAAGGCTGTGGCCCTAACCAATCCATCACAAGGTCTCCAACTATGCCAGCAGCCACAGCCAGCACACTGACTGTGCCAGGAGGGAAAAACACCAGCCCTACTCCTGGGGCCCAGGAAAGCACCAGACCCTGACTATAGTGGGGCTATTCCGAGCTGGCTTGTCAGTGAATGTGGTGGCCCAGTTACTGCTGCTGACTGCTGGAACAGGACCACTGGTGCCACTGAAGGGGACTCAGCACCGTTCACTTTCTTGACCCAGTGACTCCAAGAACAATCAAAATTGGCCTTTGGGGGCCGGTTATCAAAACAGCAGCCCAGCCAGCACACCTGCAGAGTGCAGTTCCCAGCAGAGCACCATCGCTGTGTGCTCAAGCAGAGCTGCTCCAAAACAATGTGGCTTGGGATTAAGTTTCCTCTGTGTGTGCAGGCAGGACTCTAGAATGCTCTAAGCCAGGCAACAAGCAGCAGTGTTTGTCTACAAGCTTGACCCACAAAGAGAGCAAGTTGGTCTCTGGACGCAAATCCCATGGTGCTGCTTCTTCTTCTTCTTCTTTTTTTTTTTTTTTAAGATTTATTTATTTATTATGTACACAGAAGAGGGTGCTAGACCTCATTACAAATGGTTGTGAGCCACCATGTGGTTGCTGGGAATTGAACTCAGGACCTCTGGAAGAGCAGCCAGTCAGTGCTCTTAACCTCTGAGCCATCTCTCCAGCCCCCATGGTGCTTCTTCTACCCATTGCGCCCCTACCCTGGGAGGCCATTCCTGTCCCAGAGGTCTGAGAGAGTCCACGACCCCATCACCCACACTGAGTTGGGATCTGTGTGTCAACACTGGGAGACAAAATGCAAATGAGATACATGTAAAATTTAAAGTTCATCAGCTGATACCCCAAAAGTCTTGAATATTGATGACTCAGTATCACATATATTCCTTAAGTGGAGTGAAGAGCAAAAACTTTTCAAAGTTCGAGTATTTATTAGTTTTTAAATAAAGAGAAGTACTATTTTAATTTCACATCTTGGCTACGTTTCAACACAGGCAATGCCACAGAGTACCAAGCCCCACACTAAGCCAGGAATCAGCTCCCTCCCACCCTCCTTGATCAAGGCCCTGTCCAAGCCCCTTTAAGTCCCAACTAAACACCACAACTGGCAGATGAGTTCAGCACAAAACACCAACAGGAGTCTGCAGCAAGCCAGAGGGTTGTAAGTGAGCCCCTCCTACAGATGACCTTTCACACAGGGCAGACAGCAAGCTAATGTTCTGAGCATGCTCTTGGTGCAACCTTGGCACATGCTCAGACCTCAGAGACACAGGCACACACTTTCCCCATGGACTTCTCAGGACCTCAGCGGGGCCTCTCAGTGTGGGGATAGGACTGTGCAGGATAGCTTCAGAGCATGGGGCCATATGCAGGTCAGTGTGGTGTAAGGCATACAAGGGTAAGAGAGGCCATGTCAGCAATGAATAGCGTTATGGAAAAAATTCCCAGCCAGCAGGATAGACATGGTGCTTGATGGTCCAGTTTCTGAGACAGTGAAGGTATCCAGTTTAAAGCCTACTGTGAACGTATCGGGCAGAATTCAATTTATATCACTGTTTCTTTGGCTCTGGGCTGAGGCCATTTGCTCCAGGCTTGGGAACAGAAAACAGGTTCCTTGGCATGGAAACAGCCTAGAGAAGACTAGGGTCCCGGGTGCACGAGGAAGATGGCTAAGCTCACCGTAGCTGGGGGAATACAGGACAGGAAAACCCACCTAGTCACAGCATTGGAACAAACATGTCAAGTGTGAGGGGCCTTAAACTAGAAATACCTGGAATAAAAAATAAAATAAAATAAAAATGAAAAACAAAAAGCAAAACTGAAAAACTGAACAGTCAAGATCCTCTTTCTAAATCACTCATTTACATATCAGGTCAGGGTATAATGTACAGACGAATGCATCCTGAAGGGAACACAGCCGACCCATGGGACTCAACAGCACATCACAGGACAGATTCCTACAAAGTTTCATCTCACCATGGGTGTCTTTTAATGGAAAAAAAAAAAAAATCAGAGAAAATACCTGGCCAGGCTGGGATGAGGCAAATGGGAACGCTTGAGAACCCAGGGAGGGGAGAACGGGTTCCCTCTCTGAGGGCAGGGCGAGCAAGGGAGGACGGAGCATGCAGGAAAGTACTCGTGAGTTACATCCCAGTCCCCACCTCAGGAAAAAGAGAAAGAGAAAAGTTCCCACCACGCCACACCCCACCCACATCACACCACACCCCACAGCAGCACCTCAGTGTACCCTCTGCTGCCCACCATGCCCGGGTCAAAGAGGAGCTGTGAGGAGGGTGAGGGGTGATGAGGAGAGCCACACTGAGTCTGGTTTCCACTCTCCGGCTCTTACAGGAAGTCTGCAGTCATCTGATGCCCGACACAGAGCTGGAGTAGGTGGCGGCCACGACAGGGGTGCCATTGTTGGCAGAGTAGCCTTGCCTCAACGTCTCAAAGTACGACGCCTGCACGGGCTTGTGACACTGCAGCACTTTTATGGCATCTTCTATTTTAAACCACTCTCTCTTCCTTCCTGTGGAGGGAGGCAGAGGGGAGAGATGAAGACAGGCTGGGGGCCGTGAGGACAGTTCTGAGAGGGTCGGGAGAACACGCAGGCCAGGCTTCAGGGCTGCTGCAGTGCCTGTGATTCCAGCACTCTGGAGGGAAAGCAGGAGGATCAGGAACGGAAGGTCACCCTTGGCTACACGGGGAACCCAAGGCCAGCCTAGGCTACCCGAGAGCCCATCTCAACCCCACGTCCCAAAGCAATGCTTGTCACTACTTTTATTTCCTTACGATAGTAAAGCCAGCGCCCTGTCCAATTCAAATGTTCTACAGAGCCAACTGTGGGGACAGATGGTCTGGGCCCCAAAACCAAGAACTGCTTGCTCTGCTCTTCACGCCACCCTTTCCAGGGCTCTGAGCGCAGTCAGCCTGCACCTCCAAGGAGGGGTCCAACCTCCCCATCTTTGGCAAACATTAACACCAGCATCAGCTGCCAGGATCCTCATGATAGTTGACTTATAATCTGCTACCACACTCCTTTTATTTAAAAAACTCTGCAAGTGATGGATCTGCCACAGAAAAAAGGGGCTGCTGAGACGACTCAGAGCGATGGTGCTTGCTGTGTAGGCCTGGTGACCCGAGTTCAAGCTCTGAAACCACATAAAATAGACAAGAACTGATCCCAGAGCTCCTCGCTGACCCCATGGGCGTGCCATGGCAAGAGTGCAAGCGCACCCACAGCAGGCGGCGGCGGCGCACGCCTGCAATCCCAGCACTCGGGAGGCAGAGGCGGGCGGATCTCTGTGAGTTCAAGGCCAGCCTGGGCTACAGAGCAAGTTCCAGGCCATCCAGGACTACAGAGAAACCCTGCCTGAGGGGAAAAAAACACAAGAGTGCACCCACATGTACATACAACATACATGCTAATTTAGAAAAAGAAAACAAATGAATAAAAAACCACCCAACTTAACAAATTACTATTTTGAGCCTACTTTTATTAAAATTTATGGGTTTTTTTTTTTTTTTTTTTTTTTGAGGCATGGTCTTTCGATATAGCCCCAGTGTCTGTCTGGAACTTGCTATATAGACCAGGATGGCCCTAAACTCACAAAGATCCTCCTGCCTCTGCCTCCAAAGTTCTGGGACTAAAGGTGTAAGCCACCACAACTGGCTTGCTTTTCTCTTATAAACACCCTCTTCTGGCTCTGTGGGCAGAAAATAGGATTGCTTCAAAATGGAGAAGCAGAGATGGAGTGACCTCAGTGACTGGACACTAGTCTAAAGTGTGAGGCCTAGGCTTCCGCTTCCAACAGTGCAGAAAAATACAAGTAGATAAAATACAACTGGCCTGCCCAGGAGCAAGGCCATGAAGTCAGTGTGCTGGACCCCAGAACATCACTGGCTCCAACTGGGGAGCCCTGGTCAAGTCACGGACCCCTCAGTGCCCCATTTTCCTTGTCTATAAGGTAGATAATAAATAGGACTCACCTCCTAGACTGCTTTCAAGATCAGTTACAGAAAGCTCCTCAATGCTATCAGCACCCAGTACCTGACAGGAGTAGTCTGCTTTTTTTCCTTTTCAGATTTACTTATTTATGTGTGTGAGTGTTCTGTCTGAATATGTATGTATACCACATGCGTACCTGGTGTCCACAAAGTCCAGAAGAGGGAATCAGAAACCCTGAAACTGGAGCCAGAGAGAGTTGTGAGGTACCACGTGGGTGCTGGGAATCTGACCCGGGTCCTCTGGAAGAGCAGCCAGTGCTCTTAACCACAGAGCCATCTCTCCGGCCCCCAAGGGTTAAACTTTTTTTTTTATTGTAGTTTGTTCTTTTATTTTTTTGCTTTTGTTTTTGGAGACAGGGTTACACTGTGTAAACCTGGCCGTCCTGGAACTGACTCTATAGACCAGGCTGACCTCAAACTTACAGAGACCCACCTGCCTCTGCCTCCCCAAGTGCTGGGATTAAAGGTGTGTGTGCCAGCACCAACTGGCGGCATGATTTTTCATTTATATCTACCTCTACACACACGTCTATATATATAGAGAAAGACAGGTTGTGTGTGTGTGTGGATGGAACCCGGGCCTTATGTACCGGGTGAAGAAAAGACACTCATCTGTTGTTTTCACTTCTCCAGGAGAGGATCCAGGGCCTGAGGACTACCCCAAGCAACACCAGCCTTCCAAAGTTCTGCTGCTGGAGTGCTTCCCAGAACTGCGTCCACTGCCAGCCCCGCTCAGGCACAGGGAAGAGAACCCAGGACCTCTACACCTAGGCTAGCACTCTAGCACACAGCCACAGCTCTAGTCTTACTCAGACAGGGCAGCCCAGGTGTGAGGCACCACATCTACTGTCTACTTCCCATTCCGAGGAGGCTCCAATTAGTGCACATGCTCTCTACCCCAACTTCTGCAGCATCAGCCACTTTCCCGTGATAGCACCGTGGAGGTATTTAACATTTCAAAAGATGAATGCAGCTTTGCTCACTTGTGATCTACACTGAAGACTCAACTTTTCACTAGCCGAGTCACCGGGAGCTGGGTGGGATGGTATACAGTTGTGCCTTCAGCATTCAAGGCTAGACAGCAGAGTCAGAAGTAAGTGCACCCCGGGGCCTAGAGTGATGGCTAAGTGATTAAAAGCACTGGCTGCTCTTCCAGAGGTGTTGAGTTCAATTCCCAGCACCCACGTGGTGGCTCACAGCCATCTAGAATGGGATCTGGTGCCCTCTTCTGGCCTGCAGGTGTTCATGCAGGCAGAACACTGTATACAAAATAAATAAGCCTCACTGGCTCATTCCTTGTGCACTAGATGCCTTCACTGGAGTTAACACCGAGCAATGCTAAGAACTGAGGAAAAGGTTTGTCTGGGTACTAACAAGCAATGGTACCTTAAACCTGGGTGTGGCTCCTGCCAGGCTGAATGGCAAGAACAGGCACACAACATGCCCATCTTGGTCTTCTTTTCGTCCCTGCACATGCTCACAGGGACCCTGCTTCTGCACGCCCCAACCCAGTATATGAATGAGAGCCTACGACAAGACCACATCTCACTCTCATCTTTGGTCCTGATGGCCAACAGTGGCCCAGCATGGCAGAGGCCCCAGGTCAGTATCTGTTCAAAAGTTAGAGCAGTATAGCCCTTTTGAGGAGGATCCAATCTTACTTTAGAAACATTTCTAAATTTTATGGGACATGTTTCTACTTGTTGGCTCTATTCTCAAACTCAAGCTCTACTCTCAAACTGCTTCTTCTTCTTTTTGTTTTTTTTGTTTTTCGAGACAGGGTTTCTCTGTGTAGTCCTGGCTGTCCTGGAACTCACTCTGTAGCCCAGGCTGGCCTCAAACTCACAGAGATCCGCCTGCCTCTGCCTCCCGAGTGCTGGGATTAAAGGCGTGCGCCACCACCGCCGGCCCCAGCTTCTCTTTAGACACCTTAAACCCTAACTCCCTCAGCTTCAAGCTGAAGCCGCTTGTTCATTTAGTACGCCGCGCTAGCATTTCTCCAGCCAGCAGGACAGTGCCTGCCTGGCTGGACAGGACGCCGGTGTGAGAGCTGGCCCGAGTCCTGCGGTGACTTACCAATGTTCACTGAGTCTTCCCAGTCCTCCAGCACTTCTGTGACAATGAGCACGTACACGTACGTCCTGTGCTTCCTCTCCCGGTTCTGAAGGCACAGAAAGGACAGAGGGGAGGCTTGCCTCAGTGGGGTGAGATGCTTGAACAAACATTGCTATACGCTGCCCAGAAGTATGATGCCCTCTGATTTTGCTGTTTTGTCTGAAGAGGGTTCTACCAGAACAGAGAGCGCACCCTTTGAAGAGACCTCCTCCCCCCCAGACAGGGCTTCTCTGTGTAGTTTTGGAGCTTGTCCTGGAGCTCACTCTGTAGCCCAGGCTGGCCTTGAACTCACAGAGATCCGCCTGGCTCTGCCTCCCGAGTGCTGGGATTAAAAGTGTGCACCACCACTGCCCAGCTTTTAAGGTTTTCTTAGTGTATGTATGTGTGTGTGGCCCTGGCTGGCCTGGAAATTGCTATGTAGACCAGACTGGCCTTGAACTCACAGAGATCCTCTTGCCTCTGTCTCCCTGGGGGTGTGGGGATTAAAGGGGATGCCACCATGCCCAAACAGCAAGCACTTCTTTTTCTCCTCCTCCTCCTTCTTCTTTTTTGACATAGGGTCTCTCTACATAGTTCTGGCTGTCCTGGAACTCACTCTGTAGACCAGGCTGGCCTTGAACTCATAGAGATCCACAGGCCTTTGGCTCATGAGTGCTGGGATTAAAGGTGTGCACCACCATGCCTGGCTGGCAAGCACTCTTAATGTGCTGAGCCATCTGTCTAGCCTGTGTCCAGACTCTTCAAGTCCAATCTTCACACTCCTCCTTCTTCTCCTACCCACAACTTCACAGGAATGCTGTGATCTGGAAAAAAAGGGAGTGTCCAGACTATGGGTGTGCAGAGCCACTGCGCAAACGAGCTGAGTTCCGCATCCTCTCTCCCGATTGTACCAACCCTGCTCCTCTCTGTTCCCATTCCTCACGTCCTGACACCTCCTTTCCCACCCAGTCTGTCTCCCTGTCTTCTCTTCTCCTCTCACCTTGGAAGAAAAGGAGCAGCAGGAAGGGGATAAACACTTCTCTGCACATGCTTGGGGCCTGAGTTAACTCCAGAACCCAGAAAAGAAGCTGGGCATAGAGGTTAATTAAGCCTGTGATCTCAGCCTGGGGAGGTGAGAACAAGGGGATCCCTGGGACTCAACCCAACCTATCTGATGAGCTCCAGTCCAGTGAGAGGCCCTTTCCATGAATGAATGAATGAATGAAAAAAGTTAGATGGCTCCTAAGGAATGACATGTGAAGTTGTCCTCAGGCCTCCACAGACACATACACATATGTATACACATAAATACAAAACAGTAAAAGGAAAAAGCAGAGAATACTCGTCTGCTGTGCTGTGTGCTCTGACACTCAGTGAGACACAGAAGGCCCTTTCCAAAGTCAGGACAATGTGGTTAATTAATGACTCTAGAGCAAAGGTATTAACAGACTTACCTCAAAAATTCCAACCAGTCTTCCCAGTGTCCCTTTCACTCCAGCCTGAAGGAGAGAAGGAAGAGTGAACACAGTGACACCCGCTGCGCTCCCAGAGGACCTGCGTCTGGGGCTCAGCACCCATGGCAGGTGACTCACGACTGCCTGCAACTCCAGTTCCAAAGGGTCCAAAACCCTCTCCTGGCCTCCACCGTCTCAGGCGCACGCACACACACATACACATACACACACAAAAAAAAACCAAAACAAACAAAAATCATGAATTTGCAGCAGCTTGGGAAGACTCGGGTCTGTGAGCTCATTTATACCTAGATTTACTGCATGTCACAGAGTGGTCACAGCAAGACACACTAGAGGAAGACAGTCCTTTCACATCTCTTGTCTTTCTCCCTGCGGAAGAGTTTGCCAAATAGCTACACCAAACATTCCAAAGTGTTAATTCACTTATTCATTCATGTAACAAATAGCCACGAAACAAGGCGAGTGCCAGAGGGGTAGGTAGCTATGCCCAGGCTGGGGCACAAGCATGATCCATGACAGCAAGAGCCTTAACTGACATGCCCGTGGCTGTCTGGCTGTGTACAAATGACTGCAGCAGAGCTCAGACGCCTACAGGATCCACAGACAGTAAGCCATGAAACCATCAATACAGGGTTGTCCTAGTGACCTGTCATGACACAAATCAACAGTGCGGAGCAATGGGGAGGCGTCAGTGTGGTTGCCCCACTGTCCTAACGCACCTTCTTTCTGTCCAAGGCCTGTCTGGTTGCTGGTGTGCCTCCTGTGCCCCCTCCAACAGCTGCCAGCGAGCTAATGTGCACCTTTCCTCATGAAGTCAAAAATTGGGTAACGGAAATGATCTCCAACATTAAAACTACAAATTAGCCTGTGATTAAGATATTTTTATGGCTTATTTATCTATTTTTATGTATATGAATATCTGCCTGCATTTTGAACCACATGCATGCCTAGTGCCTGCAGAGGTCAGAAGAAGCATCAGATCCCCTGGAACTAGAGCTGTAATAGAGATGGTTGTGCGCTGCCATATGGGTACTTGGAACCCGAAACCTGGCTTTCTCTGCAAGCCCAACAGTGCTCTTAACGCCAGAGCCACCTCCCCAGCCCCTCAACGTATGATTTTGACAAGGCAAATAATAACAACTTCTTTTTCCCCCCTTTTCAGTCAAGGACTCATATAGCCCAGGCTGGTCTTTAACTCCCTCTAGAGTTGAGATAACCTTGAACTCTAACCCTCCTGCCTTCACCTCCAAAATGCTGGGGTTATAGGCATGATCTTCCAGTTTGTGTGGTGAGGGGATGGAACCCAGGGTCTCATGCATGCTACAGGAGCACTGGTCGCCTGAGCCACCCTCGATAGTAACCACGGTAGTTTGTGCATTGAGCAACAATATAAATGACTTGCGCTGTCAGAAGAGGCTGGAAATAGTATAAAGGCATTTTCCAGAATGATGTAGATGTATTCTTGCAAAGTTTAGTGTATTTCAAATAATGTTGTTGCCTGTACTTTTAAATTAATAGGGTATCCATCCACTTTACAGAAGTCTATCTAAAGTGAGCTCACCATCATTCTACAACTAAAAGCAGAGACATGCCAGGCATGGTGGGTCATGCCATCAATCCCAGCACATCTCTGTGAGCTTGAGGCCAGCCTGGTCTACATAGTGTGTTTCAGGCCAGCCAGGGCTACATGGTGAAATTTTATCTCAAACAAGCAAGCAATAAACCCAAACAAATAATAAATATAAAACATTCCTTTATATACCAGCTTTAAAAATTGGGACTTAGGGGCTGGAGAGATGGCTCAGTGGTTAAGAGCACTGGCTACTCTTCCAGAGGTCCTGAGTTCAATTCCCAGCAACCATATGGTGGCTCACTACCATCTGTAGTGAGATCTGGTGCCCTCTTCTGGCCTGCAGGCATACATACAGGCAGAATATTATGTACATAATAAATCTTAAAAGGGGGGGGGGGAGTCGGGGGGGGGGGGCTTAGTAGTTTCTTAGAGAAAATGCCCTTGAAGAAATTTCAGAAGCCAAGCATAGTGACTCATGCCTGTAATTCCAGCACTCAAGAGACTGAGGCAGAGCCGGGCGGTGGTGGCACACGCCTTTAATCCCAGCACTCAGGAGGCAGAGCCAGGTGGATGAGTTAGAGGCCAGCCTGGTCTACAGAGCGAGTTCCAGGATAGGCTCCAAAGCTACACAGAGAAACCCTGTCTTGAAAAAAACAAAAAGAAAGAAAGAAAAAAAAAAAAGGACTATCATGAGTTTGAGGACAACCTGGGTCATCCTGTCCAAAATTACAGTGAGGAAAATAAAGAGAATTTCGGGGCTGAAGAGCAGCTCAGGTGGGGCGTCTGCCTAGCATGGAGGCTGGGTCTGATCTCCAGCATCACATACAATGATACAGAACAGACGGACTTCAGTCCAGCCTAATGCCAGTGGAGGAAGGCTCTTCATGGAGCGATCCTCTGGGTCCACTCCTTTAAACTATCTGATGTTTTCACAGTTTTCAGAAGCCAACCCTCAACTGTGCAGTCTCAAATGCTGGCAGCAGTGTGAACTCGGGTATTTTTACCACTCACATGACTGCGGATGCAGATCTGGACAGGCGTCAGCACAGCATCTGACAGCCGCCTGGCTCAGACATTTGACTCGGACACGTGTAAGTTGAGTGCAGTCAGGCACTGATGTGGACTTGCTCAGTCATCTCCATGTCAAACCCTAATCTGGAAGGAGCCTTTCCTTTAACACTGGTGAGAACTTGTCCGTCACCACCCATGAAGCAGAGACAGAGCTTCCCTCTCTTCAGGACAGAACTTCACCAGCAGGCGGTACAGCGCTGGGACACAGTTCAGGGTTACAGCGCTGGTCCAGCAGGCAGCAGGCCTGCAGTTTAACTCCCAACAGTGCGAAAGCAGCCAGACACAAACCCACCCCAATATACTGTGCCCGTTGGAGTATTTTCTATCTAGTTAACAAAATAAACAATTGTCTTTTAATTTTATTTATTATGATTATGATTATTTGTTTGTTTGTTTGAGGCAGGTTCTCTATGTAGTAGTCCTTGTTGTCCTGAAACTTGCTATATAGACCAGGATAGCCTTGAACTCACAGAGATCCTCTTGCCCCTGCCTCTCAGTGTTAGGATGAAAGGTGTGTACCATCACACCCAACTTAAGGGTGTCAGATCTTGGAGTTACAGACAGCTGTGAGGGGCCATGTGGGTGCTGGGAATTGAGCTCAGGTCCTCTGGAAGAGCAGTCAGTGTGCCTGACTGCTGAGCCATCTCTCCAGCCCCGTAATATATCATTAATACAATATAAATATATAAGATGAAATATAATTACATTATATATATATATATATATAAATATATATATAAAAACAAACTGTGTCTTTTTTCCTTGAGAGTGTTTTGTACTCATTCGGAAGGGTTTGAAAAGGCTGGGCCTGTTTCTCCCACGTGGGTACACAGCTCAGGCAAAGCACAAACAGGTAGGGCCCCACAGACCTATGACCACAAGGAACCCTGCTTGACCACTCAGGTGGGCCAGCTCTTTCTGAAGTAGGTTTCCCTCAGGGTAGGTGTCTGGTAGGCACAGATGCCACCTTACCCTCACTATCAGGGCACCCAGATTCTGCTCAGTTTCAAAGTGTTCAATTGGGGAAGGCATGCCTGAGCAAGGTACTCAGCGAACATGGGTTTAGGGGTGCTCCATGGGACCCATTTCAGAACACTAGCTCCTAGGAGGATCACTTGGGGACTTGTGGGAAAGATTTCTCACCATCATAGGGAGACTGGACAAAAAGAAACACTACCTTCACATCAGTCAGGGACCTAAAACCTGAAGCTACTGCAGATATCTTGTGACCCTAAAGCGAAGGACAAAAAAAACCCAGTGAGATGCCGACCTAAAGCCGGAACCAGTGCTGCCAATACCCAAGCAGCCAACCTTGGACAACTCAGGGTGGGAGTGAGCTCTAGTCAGGCATGTTCATCTGTGGCTGACAGCTTCTGCTACCTCTTTCTTGATTCAAAAAGCAGTTTTCCAGCCAGGCGGTGATGGCACACACCTTTCATCCCAAAACTCAGGAGGCAAAGGTAGGCAGATCTCTGAGTCAGAGATCAGCCTGGTCTACAGAGTGAGTTCCAGGACAGCCAGAGCTGTATGTAACACAGAGAAATTCTCTCTCAAAAAACCAGAAAAGATGCGGAAGATGAAGTACTCTAAAGACAAAAGTGGGAACAATGAAGCTTCCTGTGGAAGGCAGAAAGCTTAGTCCCCAAGGAGCTTCTGGAGACAATTCTTTTCACATGCCTGCACGACACCCAGAGACAGTGCGTGCACATCAGCACACCTGACTGTCTGCAGGTGCATCACTGGCAGCTACAGAGGAAAAGGACCACACTGAGGGCAGCCAGAAAGAAAAAGACCACACTGAGGGCAGCCAGAAAGAAAAGGCCAGCAGAGGGCCAGGGAAGCAACCCACAGGGTTTTAAGCATCAAAAAGGGGATGGGGCTGGAGAGTTGCTCAGGTGTTAGCAGCCCACTCGGCTCATGCAGAGGATCTGGGTTTGTTTCCAGCACCCACATCAGGGAGCTCACTACTGCCTGTAACTCCAGTTTTAAGGCAGTGCATGCCTCCTGGCACCTGTAGATACTTAAACTCATTATGACACACACACACATTCATGTAGTAACACCCACATAAATAAAAAATAAATATCTTTAAGAAAGAGAAATCAGGGGGACTGGAGAGATGGCTCAGAGGTTAAGAGCACTGACTGCTCTTCAGAGGTCCTGAGTTCAATTCCCAGCACCCACATGGTGGCTCACAACCATCAATAATGAGATCTGGCGCCCTCTTCTGGTGTGAAGGCATTTATGCAGGCAGAACACTGTATACATAATAAAAAAAAATAACATCCATGTGAAGACTGTTTTAAAAAAGAGAGAGAGAAATTAGTAAAATATTCCTATTGTCACTAGCCAGACATTATCAAATAATAAAATGAAATTT